TACAATTACAGTTGTAGAAAATACAATCGTGAACAGGTACAATTACAGTTGTAGAAAATACAATCGTGAAGTATAAAATATAAAAGTAAAAATTTAAACATTGCTAAATGCTAATTGGACTTTGTAAGAAAAATGATTTTATGTATAAGATCTGTTTAGGATCTACATATATTTATAGCAATTTTGGATAAAAATGATCAATTACAGAGTAAAGGATATAAACATAATGTTAGACAGACGTATCAGATTAAATTTAAGGTCAGATTAAATCTCATCTCACGTCTTCGAGTTGACTCTTCAAAACATTTGATTTGTAAAACTAAGATTAAAAATAACACTTTAATACCTCATAGTTTCACTTTGTTCTTACATATTCTCACTTGCTTTTCACGGTATTTATATAGTCTGAGTTGTTTAAAAATTGACACATAAACATCCTATATTTTGCAGGCTTGAACAACTTCACATTAATTTTCCTATATGGCACTCACATACTTGTTGATTCAAAGTGTCATACGAAAATATACATGTGAAATTTTTTAGATCGCATAATAGGGGATATCAAAGTACTAATTTTAAGCTAGTATAAACGCTGCGAAAAACATATGAGGCTATATATAAAGTGTGGAATGAGTTGAACTATAAGGTATTGAAATGCTAATTTAGCCCCAAAAAAAATGACACGAACGATACTTTTAGTTTGATATCTGATGATGTACTTCCCCCAAAATAATAATAATACTCTATTTCTCTCTTGTGCTTTTCCGCCAAAAATGTAAAATTTCAACATACGACTTCCACTCCGTTGGAGTCTTCTTTCAACATCCAAAATCACACACGAAAGAAAATCAAAAAAAAAAAAAACCACACACGAAAGTCTTCGCCATAATTGCATAATTAACAATCAATTAATGAGCTTTAATCAAAACCCCGCCACCTAAAAAGTCTTCAACCCACCAAATATTCCCAACATCACAATCACCCTCCTCCCTCTATTGCCTGCTTCCGCGCACCGCCCTCCCTCTATGTACTCTTCCCTCCGATGAGTTCCCGTCACCGCCCCCTCCTCCCCCTCCTCCACCGGTAACTCTACCGACCCCTCTCAATGCTCCTCCCTCGTAAACCTGAAACGATCCTTCACCTTTTCAGACCTCGGCACGTGGCAGCCAGACACGGACTGCTGCGGGTGGGACGGCGTCCTCTGCGACCCAGTCTCGGGCCTGGTCACCGCCCTCGACTTAAGCCACCGCGTCATCGCCGGTAAGCTCACCGCCGGTCTCTTTAATATCACCTCCCTTCGAAAGCTCGACCTTGCGTATAATGTGTTTGATGAAATTCCTATTCCAAATGAAATTGGGTCGCTTTTAAATTTGACCCATCTTAATTTATCAAATGCTGGGTTTTCTGGGCAAGTGCCCGTTGGGATTGTGAAGTTGACGAACTTGGTGTCGCTTGATTTGTCGACGATTTCCTTGGTTCAGAGTTCTCTTAGTCTTGTGAATCCTAATCTTGGAACTTTGATTGGGAATTTGAGTGAGTTGAGAGAGTTGTATCTTGATAGTGTAAACATTTCGGCAAATGGGCATCGGTGGGGCGCAGCGGTGGCGAAATCTACTCCGAAACTGACAGCTTTGAGCTTGACGAGCTGTTCGATCACTGGGCCTATTGATTCTTCACTCTCGAAGTTGAGCAATTTGTCGGTGGTTCGATTGGATCAGAATGAGTTGAATTGCAGTGTGCCTGATTTCTTCGGAAAGTTGTCTTCTTTGAGTGTGGTTAGTCTCAGTTTTTGTGGGCTTACTGGATTTTTCCCAAAGGATGTGTTTGTCTTGAAGAACTTGACAAATATTGACTTGTCGTATAATCTGATGCTTTCTGGGTCATTGCCAGATATCTTTAGTGACAGTAGGTTGAATAGTTTGGTGCTATCCGGGTCGAATTTTTCTGGGTATTTGCCGAATTCTATAGGGAAGCTGAAATCTCTGACAAGAATGGATCTTTCCGATTGTGAATTTTCAGGAGTCATACCCTTTTCAGTAGGCAACTTAAGCCAAGTGGTTCATTTGGATCTATCGATGAATAATTTCACTGGTCCAATCCCTTCTCTTCTGCCACCAAGAGTGTCTGAGCTGATACTTTCACACAATAGGCTGACTGGTCCTATCCCTTCATCTATCGGAAAGCTTGAGCATGCAGTGAAGATTGATTTTTGTTATAATTTTCTCTCTGGGAAAATCCCCGCATCTCTATTTGCTTTCCCATTGTTACAAGAAGTGCAATTGAGTATGAACCAACTTTTGGATGTTGAAGAATTAAAAAATGGATCATCTCACTTGGCAACTGTGGATTTGAGCAATAATCTATTGCAAGGAGAGATTCCAAGGTCAGTCTTTCAGCTCTCGGGGCTTAAAGTTCTTACCCTCGCATCGAATAATTTTAGTGGGACAGTCGAAGTTGATTGGTTTACCGCTCTTAGTAACCTCTCGAGTCTGGATCTATCAAATAATAGGATTTCGGTAGAGGATAAGGGTGGTAATGGTTCTATCCCCAAATTTGGCACGTTGATGTTAGCTACTTGCAATTTGACCAGGATTCCAAGTTTCTTAATGCATCAAGATCAGATGGGCATCTTAGACCTCTCAAACAATAAAATTCATGGTGCAATACCCAATTGGATATGGAATATTGGGAAGAATAGTCTGACGTATTTAAACCTCTCTTTCAACATGTTCACCTCTGTTGAAGGTCCTCTTCCAAAAGGTCCTCTTCCAAAATTCAAAAAGAATACAGCGATAACTCTTGATCTCCATTCGAACTTGCTCAAAGGGCCTATTCCACTTCCCCCAACAAATGCCATCATTCTTGATTACTCGAACAACAGCTTCTCGTCTTTTATTCCACCGGAACTCACCTCCTACCTTAATTTTACCATTTTCTTTTCACTTGCTCACAATAATGTAACGGGAGAGATTCCACCATCAATTTGTAATGCAATCAATCTCCAAGTCCTTGATTTCTCTGACAACAATTTGAATGGTTTGATACCTCCATGTCTTTTGGAAAGTTATAATGAACTCGGAGTGCTAAACTTAGGAGAAAACCATCTTCGAGGAAGTATTCTTTGGAACATTAGTGAAGAATGTGGGTTAAGAACAATAAATTTGTAACAATCATTTGGAAGGGAACGTACCTAAATTAGTGACCAGATGCAGTGAGCTCGAGGTTCTTGATCTTGGAAGCAATCACATAAATGGGTCTTTTCCCTTTTGGCTTGAGAGCATTGATTCCCTTCGAGTTCTCATCCTGAGATCAAATGAACTCCAGGGAACTATTGGTACTCCTCCAGGCTCTAATTCACATAACAAACCCTTCTCGATGCTTCAAATCTTTGATATCTCCTCTAATTACTTCAGTGGCACTCTTCCATTAGATTGCTTCAAGAATTTGAAGGCAATGATGCATTCTGATTCAAATATCTCGACACTGCAATTTGAGTACATCAAGTTGGATACCTCCTATCAGAACACGGTTACAGTTAAAAGTAAAGGGCGTGACATGACGCTAGTAAGGATATTGACGATCTTCACATCACTCGATTTCTCGAACAACAGCTTCCAAGGCAATATACCAGACATTATTGGGGATTTTGTTTCCCTTCATGTGCTAGACTTTTCTGACAATGAACTTACAGGAAATATTCCTTCATCAATTGGAAATTTGATGCAACTTGAGTCATTGGATCTCTCGGGGAATTTTCTCTCTGGTGAGATTCCTATGACACTAAGTAATCTCACTTTCCTCTCGTTCTTGAATCTTTCGAACAACAACTTGATCGGCAGAGTTCCTCAAGGAAATCAGCTCTCTACATTCACAAATACTTCTTTTGAAGGGAATAAAGGTTTATGTGGTGACCCGTTATCAAAGCAGTGTGACAATTCAAGTGCAAATCGAAACCATATAGCTCTTGCACCTGCATCTAAAGTAAATTGGTATTTTGTGTTCATAGAGTTTGGATTCGTGGTGGGGTTGGCTATGGTGATTGGAATTATAATGTTTTGGAAGAAATAGGTACAATAAGAAGGTTGATGGGCTTCTTGATCCTGTTCTTGTTTTTGCATTTTCGCTAGTCTGTGATTATTTCAGAGATAGGAGAGTTGGAGCTGAGGAGGTGGTGGACTGTGATTCTAAGGAGATCGATCATGGAAGAAGGTTTTGTGTGTTCTGTACTATGTTAGAGTTTTCTCATGGAAGAACACGGGTACATCATGTTAAATGTGATTGTCCCTTGGAAGGGGAGAATTGAGTTTTTTTTGTGTGTGCTTGTGTGTATCAGTGGTGCATGATGATAGACTATATTGTTATCAAAATTTTTTTTTGGAAGTTTTAATTACAATAAAAGTTTGAGAGTTTGCAACACCTGTAAAATGATGCAAGGCGCTTTTCTTCATGGTAGATTCTACCAGCTACTCCCTGAAAAATAATTAGCTTTCCTTGATCTCAACCATTTCAATTTACTAATACAATTTGAAAATTTTAAAATACCCAAATTATGTTGGTATGGTCAATTTCCTTATAACAATAATGATGATTGATGTCAAGGAGAAGCAAGAGCAAGACTAACTTTTTCTCATCGGTACTCAATTCCTTTATGAGCTTATCCTGACTTCCTAGTATCTTCCCATTAGCTTGAAGTAGTCCATGAAACCCAACGCTCAAATAAGCATGAGTCTTCTATTCCCCTTAAAAAAATAAAAAAATAAAAGAGAGAGAGAGAGAGAGAGAGAGAGAGAGAGAGAGAGAGCATGAGTCTTAATTCTACGAAGTCTAACGTAGGAGAAATTGAGCATGAGTCTTAATTCTACGAAGTCTAACGTAGGAGAAATTTAGAGAGAGAGAGAGAGAGCATGAGTCTTAATTCTACGAAGTCTAACGTAGGAGAAATTTACATTACGTGCTTGGTGACTGAATTTTGATATTGCCCTTTTATTAATTGTAAACGAGAGTGATTTGTGAGAAATCTCAGATTTAAGTCCTCACAAAGACTTGTCATTTAATGGTCATTGGTCTATTGATCAAATTTGTGTCTTTTTTCTTTCTTTGTCCATCCTATTATATATGCCTCACTTTGAACTTTGTCCCCCAAGAGTCCGCGGAACTTGTTTTCACATGGAAGAAGCTTTAAAACTTAACGAGTTACAACCCTTTCTGGATGCAAATAAGTGACAACAAGCCCTCTGAAACTAATATAAACTACAGCTGCATGGCCGGCCCTGGGGTAAGCCCACCAAGCCCCGGGGGTGGGGCAACCCAGGGCCGAGGGGCAACCATCGTGATTACATCCTTCACCCCTCAAACCGTAATAATTTTCGAAGTGGACTTTGTAAGAGGACTTTTTATGCAAAAATTGTTAGGGGTTCTATTAGTAAAAAACTCTTATTAGTACCCAAAACCCTACCCAACTCCTATTTCTGTCAGCCTCCTCTCCTCCTTCGCGTCTCTGTTCCGCCGCTCACAAAAAAAGAAAAAAAAACGGCGATAATCCGAATCGACGGAGACACCGCTCTATTTCGCCATCTCTGTTCCGTCAACCTCCAAGTCCTCCTTCTCATCTCAGCTCCTGTCCTTTGGACCACCCCGCTAACTCCTCCTCCGACGGTCCGATCCAGTCACCCAAAAGACGGAGGGAATCTGAATCAACTTATCGACGCCGACGGCCGATCGGTCCATCGAAGAAACACAATCAGGTAATTTTTTTAAATAAATAATTTTAGGGTTTTTTGGACGGAAATTTGGGGTTTTGATGTTTTGTAATGAAATTAAGATTTCTGATTTTGAATCTTGGCTGAATATTAGTTGTTGAATTAGGGGTTATGATGTTTGGGCGGTTTCGTCTAGGTTTTTGTTTTGAAACTAGAAATTAGATTTGATTTAGCTATTTGGGTGGCACAATTATGTCTTCTGACAAGTTTCTCACGATTTTCTTAAGTTTAAAAGAAGCTTATCACAATTGAAAGATAGAAAGAGGAAATAATGTTTACTTGTTAAAAAGTTCATCTCCCTTCTAGTCATCTAAAACTCGCAAATCCTAATCGACAATAATATGATATATTTCTATTTGGTTTTAATTATAATCTCAATTTAACTTTGGTTTGATGACATTCATATTATTGGATTGCTATCTAGATTAATTGTTTGATTGTTTTAATAATAATGATATTGCTAAGTCTTCGTTCCGACATTAGTTTAGTTGATTGTGATTTCATATATGTTATCTTCACACTATCATGCCACATGATTGATTGAATGGATTGGCAATGATATCAATTGAAAATGAATACTTGGAGAAGCTCGAGTATGATGACTTAATTGAAGAATTCACTTCAAAAAAATTCAAAGGGCAACCAAAATTGGATTAGGCTAGGGCAACCCAAACCTCGGGGCCAGCCCTACATGCAACCAGATTCTAATTCATGTTTTGAGAGTGGCAACCCCTTCTTGTAATTTTGAACTGAGTAGTGAAGAAAAACTTTGGCTAAGGCTAGTATGATAGAGAATTAGAGAGAGAGATGTAGAAGAAGATAGAGAATTTGGTGCTTTTGTTTTCTTTTCTTCTTTTCATATCTCAAATTCTCCCACTCATGGGTTTATATAGACTTATACATGATCCTTCATATTCTATACATTAATTCTACACATTTACTTGCATAGAATACAAGGAGTCATCTCTTAGAATACCACCCCACTTATTATACTTTGACTCTTAGGATTCCCTTCCACCTAAGATATCACACTATGACTCTTGGGTTGTTTAGGTTGCTAAACACTGATTAGTTCAACACTCCTCCTCAGGGGTTAGCAGGTTTAACACCCATTAGTTCTCAAAGTGTGCAGAAGCGATCCTTCGATAAAGCTTTGGTGAAAATGTCTGCAGCTTGATCTTCGGTTTTGCAGTAGATGACCTCCATTTCCTTGTCCACGATCACGTCCCTGATGAAGTGTGGCTTCACTAAGGCTCCTTTTGAAGTTGTGTTGGGTGAAGTAGGAGTTGACCTCTTCATACCACGCCCTTGGTGCTTGCTTGAGACCGTAGAGCGCCTTGTGGAGCTTGTAGACTTTATCCTCGGCTCCTGCAACTTCGAACCCTTGCGGTTGATGGATGTAGACTTCTTCTTGTAGCACCAAGGAATGTCGACTTCACATCAAGCTGGAATACTTCCACCCTTTGTCAGTAGCTAGAGCAATCAAGAGACGAATTATTTCCAGTCTGGAGACAGGGGCAAAGGTTTCATTGAAGTCCACTCCGGGCTTCTGTGAATAGCCTTTCGCCACAAGCCGTGCCTTCTTCTTGTTGATGGACCCGTCAAGGTTCAGTTTAGTCTTATAGACCCACTTGATGCCGATGATTGGCCTTGCTGTAGGTTTCTCTACCAGCTCCCAGGTGCCATTTTTCACTATCATGGAGATATCCTCCTGCATGGCTTTCTTCCAATCTTCTTCTTTGATGGCTTCTTCAAATGACTCAGGCTCCAATATGCAAAAATTACATGAAGCGTAAATCTCATTAAGATTTCTGTATCTTAATGGAGTTGTACCGGAGGAGGAAGAAGAACTGGGACTAGAGTTGGATGGTGTGCTTGAGGAGCTAGCACTTGATCTTGATGTGGTTGAGTTGGAGCTTGTTGAACTCGAACCGTTTTGTGGAGTTTGCACTTCTGGCTCTGGATCTGGATCTTGGGTGCTCTCTGAATCTAGGTAGATGTAGTTTGTGGGCACCTGCTCCTCCTTCTTGAGATCCCAGTTGCACTTGGCTGATTCGTCAAAGACCACATCCCGTGAGATGACGATCTTTTGAGTCTTGGGGTTGAAGAGCCTGTAGCCCTTCGTATGGCTTACGTATCCCATAAAGATACACCTTCTTGTGTTCTCCTCCACTTTAGATCTCAACTGGCCTGGGATGTGAGCAAAACAAACACAACCGAAAACCTTAAGGTGGTTTAAGGAAGGTTTTCTACTTGAGAATGCTTCGAAGGGGGTCTTTTCCTCCAATGCTCTTGTTGGACACTGGTTGAGAAGGTACACTACGGTGTTGACTGCTTCTCCCCAGAACTTATAGGGAAGGTTCTTCTCATGTAGGAGTCTCTTGGCCATCTCCACAATAGTCCGGTTCTTCCTTTCTGCCACTCCGTTCTGTTGAGGAGTGTATGGACATGTGGTTTGCTTCTCGATGCCAAGGTTGCTGCAGTAGTCCTCGAACTCTGCTGAAGTGTACTCTCCACCCCGATCACTTCGAATCTTCTTGATCTCCAGGTCTGTTTGTCTTTCCACCATTGCTTTGAACTTTTGGAAGGCGGTGAAAGCTTCTGATTTGAGCCTCAAAAAGTAGACCCATGCCATCCTTCTAAAGTCATCAATAAAAGTGATAAAATATTTGTTGCCGGCCAGGGACTCCGTCTTCATTGGACCACATAGGTCCGTATGGATCAACTCCAAAGGCTTTGTTGCCCTCCATGCTCCTTCCTTTGGGAACTCGCCTCGGTGCTGCTTGCCTTTCATGCAACTGGAGCAGACACCTTCAACTCCTTCAATGGTTGGAGGCCATACACCATTTCTTTGCTTTGAAGAGTCTTGAGGCTTTGGAAGTTGAGATGTCCGAGCCTCTTGTGCCATAGCCAGGAGGAGTTCACCTCTTCGACCTTTAGAGCTTGAGTGTTCCAGTAGTGCAGTGAGAGAGGAAAACTTCTGTTGGGTTACATCTTGACTTTGGTCACCAAGTTGTTAAAACTCCTATCATCGTAGATCTTCACTGTTTGATCACCAAAAACTAGAAAATAACCGTTAAGGAGCATTTGACCTACACTTAACAGATTTTCCTCTAGACCCGGTACAAGCATTACATCCTTGATGTATCTTTTTCCTTTTTTTGTATTTACAGTAGACCCGGTACAAGCATTACATCCTTGATGTATCTTTTTCCTTTTTTTGTATTTACAGCCAAGATACCATTTCCTTCAGATTTTACAATATTCCCATTTCCCATCTTTACACTACCAAGATAGGATGTGTCTAAGTCTATCAATAGTGACCGGTTCGCGGTCATGTGGTTACTACAGCCACTGTCAATATACCAAAGACTACCATCACTATCTTTTCCTCCATGACAAGCAAAGAAAACATTACATTCGTCATCCTCTTCTTGGTTTGCAAAGACTTGCCGACAGTTTTGGTTTTGATTTCCTTGAGTCCCGCACTACTCTTTGGTATGCCCAAATCTGGAGCAGTTGGTGCACTTGGGCTTCCCCTCGAACCAACACTTCCCTTGATGAGACTTGCCGCAAGTTCTACATGCGGATTTGCTACCTTGTTGGGAGTTACCACTTTGTTGTTGTTGTTGAGGCTTTGGAGCAAAATTGGGCTTGCCTCCTTTCTTCTTCTTCTTTTGCTTCTGGCTCTGTTGTTGATTTGAGCTCATGTTGAAGCTTTGGAAGGCTCTCTCCATGGTAGAAGCTTCATTCCTCTTCTCAAGCTTTTGGTCAAACGCCTTGATGGATGCGATTGCCTCTTGTAATGAAAGCTTCTCCATATCTTTTGTTTCTTCTATCACACTTACAATGGAGTCATATCTACTAGAGAGAGAAATAAATTTTTTTGAACTACTCTTTGATTTGTTACATCTTCACCATATGTTTTTAATTGATTTATAACATTGGTGAATCTAGTAAGAAAATCATCGAGTCTTTCTTCTACTCTCATAGAGATTTGCTCAAACTCTTTTCTAATAGTTTGAAGCTTAACCGCCCGTACCTTTTCACTTCCACGATACTCTTCTCGGAGGATGCCCCACGCCGCCTTTGCTGTCTCCTCGTTGGAGATCCTGGGGAAGATGGAGTCGGAGACGACATTTGGATCAACCCAAGGACTTTGGCATCCCTCATGTAGTTAAGCTTTAATGTCTTCTGCTCCGTCGGGGTGAGAGAGTCTTCGTCTTCTGGCACCTCGAAACCTTTCTCCACCAGCTTCCAAAGGTCATGCGCTCTGAATATCGTCATCATCTTGATCCGCCAAAAGTTGTAGTTCTGCCCGGAGAAGATCAGTGTTCGTATCTCGCCGAAGGTAGGTTTTGGGTCGGACTCAATGACTATTGGGTCAGCCACTTGAATCCGAGATGAAGTTGGAGAATCGACAGTTGTATTGGTCATTTTGAGGAGGCTATTTGGAAGAGTTTTGGTAGTGGGTGTTGGTATTTGGTATAAATTTATTGAATATAAACAATATAGCCAACATATGAACAGAAGCTAAAATTTTATAACGTTTGAACAATAAAATTATATTCAAGGATCAATTAGGCTATAGTATAATGGTTGTATCTACAAGGTGATTGATCAAAGACTACCATAAGAATATACCTAAAAGTAATGTTTGATGATGTGGATGTAAATCCAAGCTTATGACGTTAGAGCCTTGTTAAGTCTTCGCACTACCTAATGTATGAGTATATATATTCACCCATGAAAATTTTACAATCCCATAAAAAAAAATCCAAAACACCCATTAAGGTTTCTACAAACTAAGGCTTGACAAGCTCCAAACACACCCTTTCCATAATACAAAGTTAGCGTAGTACTATTTTTTATTGCACAAACTTATTTTTTACCTTGCAGTTTTAACTCCATGAACCTTTTCAGTTTGACGATGACTTGTTGATTTGGGATGGCTTTCCTTGAATCATACTCTTGGATTATCTAGGGTTTCTTACTGATCAACTGTTACAAGATAATATCTTTTAGCATATATTAAGTTGCCAAAAATCAAACGAAATAGAAAGAAAGAAAAGTACTTGTGCAAACTTATCATCGGTATACTTTTTGTTCATTCTTGCTTGCATAATATTCTTATTTAGCTCACTTCGCACTCGTTCATCTTGTTGGACATTAAATTGAAACGTCAAAAAAGAATATGGAGATATTTATTAGCTATCTAAAATTGGTTGTGCTAATAGGATGGAAGAGAAAGATGCAAGTAAAGGATTTTCAAACATCTATATTCCTATTGTGGGGGAAAAATAACCAACAAAATTAATACTCCAAGGTTTTTTCAAATATCTTGTCAACAAAAGTTTGTGTGCAGTCGAGATCACAAAAAACAGTTCATTTGGCTAATTTGGCTCTTCTGTGGCAGGTTCATCAACTACAGATTGTTTAAGGAATATGTTACCCCAAGTAGCATTGAATAAAATTCTTTCAAAAGCCATGGATTTTCCTTTCAATACAAGGCCACTAACAAAATCAAGCTTTACTTGCTTTGACGGATCAGTTAGCATTTTCTAAAAAAAAGTAAAATGGAGTTATCATTTAGCTAATTTGGCTCTTTGTGAATATATAACAGAACAAAACAAGGTTCGAGTCATATGGCTCCAAGAGCAAAGGACTTTTAAGACCATCCCATAATTAGCGAGCTTCAATTTCTAATAGCAAGAAGTGGCATCATTTGAGCTGAGTTAAAAAATTTGCCAGCCTGTAAGATGGGCCAAAAATATTACTCTTTTATTACACAAACAAATTGCATTCTAAATATATTTCCATTGTTCAGATTCTAAAAAGACTAATGTTTTAAATGGAAATTTATAATTGTTATAATTATCCTACTTTTCCAAAAGATTCACTTTATATTCTTGAACTCAATAACAAATGAAAACATACAAAAAGAGAATTGTATGCGCACATCAACTAATTGAAGAAAATAAACAAATGTCTTTTGTACAACAAGCATATACTCCAATCTTAACCCATAATTTAGAAGCTTAACATCACCATTATGAAGTTTCTGAATGAATGTAAATTTCATAATAACTACGAAATATTTCATTCCAAACTATGGAACTTTTGCATAATTATAAATCTCTACAGTTTGGCATCGAAGGATAGGACATATTTGTAATATTTATATGCCCTCATGAATCCATAGAGCATAGCAGCTAAATATAAAAATACATACAAATATAAAACAGTCTTATTCAACAATTTAGAAGCATTACAACAATAAATTTTCTTCATAAATTGTTAAATTTTCATAATGACCACAAAATTTGTGCCAAATCCTGGAATTGTGCATAGAAAAACCATTTAAAACCTTTGACGTCCAGCCATCGATACTCTGATCGTATAGCTGTCTGAAAATAATTTGGCTATGAATTCAGCAATCCCATCAACCGCATTCTCATCACTAATTATAACATAATTTTTATTGTCAATTCCACACGCTTCCTCTAAATTATCTGGAACCATCTCTTTTGTTACCCAAATCCACCGAGAAGGGTCCCCATTGATATTATTGGAAAAGGTCAACTTCTTTGAGATCTGCTTCAATGCACAAAATATACAACACATGAAAAATAGAAAGTGTTGAAAACATTTACCTGCATCAAATAAACTTAATCCAACTCGAGTTAAGGAGGGGGCCAAATTGTAACTTCAGTAGGAAGATAAATGTTTGGTATAGCATTGGCCTCCTGATGAAGTGATTCAATTTTTGTCAAGTAGCTTGAAGAATCAACTGCAGCCTCAAGGCATGCATATAGCTGCAATAAAACAGAGCTTATCATTTCATATTATCAAAATCATAAACAGATGAGATTTACATTTTAAGCATCTATTCAACTCTCCATTTAACTCGATTTAAATGAACAAATCCACCCTGATATTGACTTCCACACTTATCCAAAACAGCAATACAATTAACAGTTTATGCACGTAGAAAGTTTTACTCAAAAAGTGCATTAATTGGATGAGCTAAAAAAGTATCAAAGCATAAAAAGTGCGAGCATAATAACTATTCTAAGGTGCAAAATGCAAGGTGCAGAATTCATGAACAAAGAAAGCTCTAACAGAACAATGAATTGGGCGTTAACAAGCTACAAAATCATATAATCCTACAAAATGTAAGCATCAAAAGCATTCTAAGAGGTGGTAAGCATTAGGCTCTTTGGCTTTTCTTTTTTCTTCCTCTAATTACTCTTGGTCATCAGAAATGAACAAACAAATTAAGTACAGATTTGGTAGCAAATTATTGAAAGTAAGCAATAAATCAAACATATAAACATAAGTAACACATGCTTTACAAATCGAATCAAACAGTAAAGTGTATGTATTTGTATTTGTTAAAAAATTTCATTACAAACTAACACATGCAATACAAACTGTGAATTAAAGAGACTTTAGAAACTTCATTCAAGGAAAATACTAAGTATTTTTAAGTAAGGTATGTATCAAATCACCACTGTTTCTTTTTTTCATTGCGCAAATACAATGTAGCATAGATGTTTGGTCAAATGTCAAAGGGATATGAGTATTATTGTATGAACTTTTATTTGTTCTGGGTATTGTCATGGTCTCACGGTATACATATATTTTTATACATTGTATCCTAATGTAGTTTAGACCACATTGACTCATATCCTAATGTAGTTTAGACCATCATAAGTAGTAGACATCAATCGAATTGAAAATCCATAACCGTGAAAAGTTATAATCGTGAAAATCATTCGCAAAAAGCTTTTGTAGTGAATAAAAGAAGACTATCAATTAATAACGGATACTTGTTAACATAAAGCTTGGTTTGAACAGAGAACCTTGAACATAGCATATGCTTGGTATTTTACTAAAAAATCACATATGTGAACAATGATATATATGCAACTGGTGACCCATAACATCATGCATGTAACAGAAAGCTATTTCACAAAACATGAAAAAACATATAAATGAAGTAGATTATCATTAATCACTACAACATAAGTTCTTAAAGAAAGGCAATATAATATAATTCTCCAATAAGCACTATAAACTATATTGACAAGTAAACTATTATTGATTTTTAATTCAAGCCTAAGAATAAACCATCCAACACCCAAGTAGTAAATGATAATGCTTTGAAGATGCTAATTAGATCGGGTTTGAATTGAAAGTTAAGCATTTAACATTTACTTAAACTAAATAAAAGCATGCATAACCAGAAAAAAGTTTATGTTTTCTATTTCAATTCAATGAAAAAAAGTTATAATTGTGAAAATCATTGGAAGCAAAAAGCTTCTGTAGTGAATAAAAGAAGACTATTAATTAATAACGAATACTTGTTAACATAAAGCTTGGTTTGAACAGAAAGCCTTGAAGATAGCATATGCTTGGTATTTTATAGAAAAATCACATATGTGAACAATGATATATATGCAATTGGCGACCCATAACATCATGCATGTAACAGAATTCTATTTCACAATACATGAAAAATGGCAATGTGACATCGTATGGTATCTAATAAACCGATTGGATCTTCTTCTGTTTGTGAATATTAAATTGTACCTATTTTTACTAAAAAAGATTTCTTTGTTTGTGCTGAATTAAAATCTGATATTAGACAGAACACATATGTCACATTGTTCGGCGTTGCTTAAAGAATAGCTACCAAGTGATATCATTTGGATGTAATAATATTTCCATATCAAGAACGCAGGTAAGGTTGGAGGTCAGTTTTCTGAAGTTACCAAGATGCTAATAAATTGGAGTGCCGAAAAGAGCCCTTTCAGCTAGCCTATTAATTAAGGAAGAAAGGTTATTGATATGAATAAGTGAATGAAATACTACAGAATTCCTTGAGAAAGAGAAAGTCGTGATTCAGGCATGAAATGTTTGTTTTGGAGAAAATCAATTATTTAAATGCCAACAAATGTAATAATTTTTGAGTCATAGATAATGTCCTGAAGACGACTTACAACCAGAACCAGAACACTATAAATTGTATCGCTTAATTAATGGTTACAAGTTCCTCGAGGAGGCTTGACATCCTTAATGAATTAAAGCTAGATGAGTTTAATGCATGAAATGTATGAAAAATTTTCGATATGTTAAGAATAGTTGGTTTTCATATATAGTTTACTTTATGAAAGTATTGTTTGTGATTTTTTTTTTGTTCATTTGCTTCTATTCTCTTTAAATGATGTGCAATCAATTCAAGTTGAACACTTTTTAGTTGCGGTCTTTTTTTTCTTCTAGAAATATATGCTGGGACATAATTTCTCATGGTTTAATCAGCTCTAAATTTGCTATAATTTCATGCAGTAAATATGATATTGACAATTAAACTATTATCATTGATCTATATACTTAATCACTATAACATAAGTTTTTAAAGAAAAGCAATACAATAGAATTCTCCAATAAGCACTATAAACTATATTGACAATTAAACTATTATTGCTTTTTAATTCAAGCCTAAGAATAAACCATCCAACACCCAAGTAGTAAATGATGATGCCTTGAGGATGCTAATTAGATTTGCTTTGAATTGAAAGTTAAGCATTTAACATTTACTTAAACTAAATAAAATCATGCCTATAAAAAAAAGTTTCTGTTTTCTATTTCAATTCAATAAATATATATATATAATCCAATAAACCAAATTAATTGAATAACAAATATTAATATTTACCTTGATAGATGGGAGAATCAGCAACCTCCAAATACTTAATCCTGTAAATAATGCATGAAAACTAAAAAATTAGGAAAATATCAATTGCCATAAAAATTAATTGTAGTGCAAGAAAATAAACTAAATTCCAATGCATAGAACCTAAATTGCCTCAGAGAAAGCAATTACGTTGGTGTTATGCTTAATTTTAAAATGCGAAAATTTCAGAATGAAATTAATCACATATCAAAACATCATACCTACTTTTATTTGAATTCTAAGAAATAAAAAGATATTGCATTGACTAAGAATTTTCAAAATCAAAATTTATAAATTGATCAAGATATACCAGAAAATTTTCTCCGGAGGTGGAAGACTCCGTTGATTGATCAGAAAGTAGCACTTTCGTGGCAAAAGCTTGGGGATTGTGGAATCGAAACCTAAGCTTGAACAGAGCAACTTGCTCCCAACCCAAGTGCTCTGGGAGAGAATTTGACTCTTGATGAGATTCGGAGGTGGAAGAATCGGTCGATTGATCGGAAAGTAGCACTTTCGTGGCAAAGCTCGGGGATTGTGGAATCGAAACCTAAGCTTGAACATAGCAACTTGCTCCCAACCCAAGTGCTTTCGAATAATAGTAAGCATCTTTGCAATTTCGTAACCGCCAATTTATGAGCTAGAGAGAGTGAGATTGAGTTGCCGGAGTAAAATCGTAACCGATGGAACGGAGAAGGAACGAATGTCTAGGGCTTTAGACTTTTCTGATTCTGAGTAACGAAAAAAGAGAGGATAACTTTGTTAAATTAATGATAGATGAAGGGTATTTTAGGGTTAACAAAGTTTTTCTAGTACTCCCTCTTTTAAAGGGAGAAGAATGACTTATACATGACCCTTCATATTCCATACATTAACTCTACACATTTACTTGCATAGAATACAAGGAGTCATCTCTTAGAATATCACCCCACTTATTATACTTTGACTCTTAGGATTCCCTTCCATCTAGAATATCACACTATGGCTCTTGGGTTGTTTAGGTTGCTAAACACTGATTAGTTCAACACTGTCAACTTGTTTGACAAAAACAAACCCATCACTGACTTTTCTGTCCAGTTCGATCGACTTAGTATGCGTTTCATCTCTATTTGCGGTTTTGTTTCTTAAGTATGAAGTTTACGTATCCTTCACCATTGGTGTTGAGGACATACAATCAAATTGTGAATTTGAAGATTTTAATTATCTTGGTCAATGATACATTTAATATTGTTTGTAAAACTCCCTTTTTATTTTATCTTTGCATGATCATTAGCAATTTTTTCCCCTAACAATGCACGCGGACTTGATCAGATTAAACGTTTACCATGCACACGGCACACTAGAAAATGTATTTATATGCAGCACTAACAGGACCTCGAGACTTCTAGTCATGAAACTGAACGGTAAGCCGTCCATTTAAAAATAGATTAATTATAATGAGGTACCATGAAGTATAGCGTAATTATATGGGTGATCCTAGAGTTTGTGTATCTATATAAGTAGGCCGAAGATTATTGATTATAATTACACGGAATCGGTCATTTCAGAACTCCGAGGTCGCTCGTGTAGTTAGATCATACTTCAAATAATCTGACTGTTATTTGTCCAAAGAAAACATTACATTACACATATGTAGCAAGTGAGACAGATTATATAGGGCTAAGAAAATAAGAGTGAAATATGATACAATTAAGCAAAAGGTGTCCACCAGATGGTTCCACATCCATTATTCTTCGCCACTACCAACACGCCACAACCCCCTTTCGCTCTCTCTCGATTCTTTTTATTTTCCTTCTTTTTTCCTTCCCTTCAAAGGGAAAGAACAAAAGCAAACAGATAAAAATGGTCTATATATCAAGGAAAAGGCAAAATCTCTTATTTATTTGACAAATATCTTAAGGAGACGTCCCTTACTATTCTAGTTTACTTCAATCACAAGCAATGTTAATATACAATTCATCACCAATGACAGCAAACTGTGATGATAACCGTATGTAAACCTCTAAATATTGAAGGCAAAAAGAACACAGTCTATAATACTCGTATACCTCTAAATCACATACCATATTTATCCACGCTTCACCTGAGTTTATCAAAATAGAGGGTGATTCTCCGCATCCGGTTCTTGAGGAGGAGGTAGGAGAGGAAGCTTTTTCTGCCAGGGAGCTAACAGGTGATGAGGCTCCAACCAAGGTCGGAGCTAAAGAGGTGCCAACCGGATTGGGAGAGGGGCTCGAGTCATGTAAGAGACCCGGAAAGGAGCCGACCATTGGGGATCCGGTTGCTCAGTGGTCAATATAAGTGGCCCTTTACCCATCATATCAACGATATCCACCCTCGTACGTACTTAGGAGGGGATGTGAGTCGTTTTGATGGGCCCTAAGTCCTGCCCTTTCTACGAGGGGGAGTTGGAAGAGTGCCTTTTCATTCCGCGAATAGATGCTAGGGGGTTAGTCCTAGAGCTTCGAGTTGATCACGACAATGCGGTGGTGCTGTTCATTCTTCTTGTTGATGAGGCACTCCTGTATGAGATTCTCATTGCCGGTCTTCACTATGCTTTCCGGAGCTACTTCACCTGGGGGCTCTCTTGGAGTTGAGTCGTTTTGATGACTTGAAATCTATCAGGAACTCTTTTTCAAGCTCCAGGCTAAGACGGAGGCGCAAAAGGAAGCTCGTGAAGTGGCCGAACTGGTGGCTGCTACTAATGATACGAGTTGCCGTGCGAGCACCTTTGATTGCAGAATTATCAAAGGTGAGTTGAGGAGAAAACAGTAAGAACACAAGAATAACTCAGGTTTTGGGCGAAGGAAAATACCTTCTCTAGATTATGAGTATGCAATTTACAATCTCTCACAATCTCACTCTAGAATTGAAGAATAAGCTCTCTAAATCTCAATTACAATCTAATCTCTCTTGATTAAACTCTCTGATTGTTTTAAACCCTAAAACAATCCCTTATATAGGTGTACAAACGATGTTGGCAATCTGGTAAATAACCAAGCCCAAAACCAACAGGAAAACGGGTAAACAGAAACCCAAACGAACCAGGAAAACTCCGATGAGTCGACTCATGACTGTTTTCGTCAAAAGTTGCCTTCATCATTGATTTCATTAGAAACTTCAAACGTTACAAATGAATTCAAATAACGAAAATAAAAATTATAACTTTCTTGAAAATAAACACAAGATCCGTTTATCGTCTCTTGCTTGCGTGGGTCTTTGGCCTGTGACGGGGACGTCGATATCCGTGGACTACCTGGCAATCAGATCTGATCCAGAAAAATCGGGCAGCGAGGAGATCTAGAAGCTTGAAGCTGTTTGCGTCGAAAATTGTTGTATTCATTGTGGTATTCATTACAACTTCGGTCGTTACAATGAAAACAAAAAGATGGTCTTTTTATAAGACTTTTACACAATGAAAACAAAAGTTTACAACTCTCGTCAAAACAAACGCAGAGGACGTTTATCACCCGCTGCTTTGCGTGGGATCTTTGCCTGTGCCGGGGTTTATCCGTGGACCACCTTAGATCTGGATCCGGTTGATGAAAAATTCGGCAGAGCTTCGTCTTCACCGAGGAAGTATTTGATTTGAAGCGCTGAGATCGACCAAGCGAAATCAGGGCTCTTCTCGAGATTAAGACCAAGCCTAATCTCAAGGGACGGACGAACGGGGTTCAGATCCTTCGAAAACTCTCCTTCTTTATGCCGAAGAACTCGCCAAGATCTGTCAACCCTCGCTGAAATTCGTGCTCCTTTGACTCCACAATCCGGCAGCACCTCCTCGTCTTGATAATCAATCGCCCCAGAAAATGGAGGCCTTTGGTTCATATTTATAGGCCTCAAAATGCGGTTATTTGGATAAGAACAAGGGATTTGGCTCTATCTTCAGTCAACAGCAGCCTAACAACGTTTAGGGATGATCTCAAGTCAGTTAAGAACCCCTAAAACCGATAAACCCTGCAAAAAACCAATTTAAAACTGTCAAAACGTGTTTTGGAACTTTAGACTGCGCAACAGGACAATCTGACCCGCGCTCGCGCGGGTCGGATCATTCCGTCCTGCGCCCGACCCGCGCCGCCGCGGGTCGGTTTATTCCGACCCGCGCCGGCGCGGGTCGGATCATTCCGACCCGCGCTTGCGCGGGTCGGATCATTCCGACCCGCACGGGCGCGGGTCGGTTTGGTCCGTCCTGCGCGGCGCGCTGAGTTTCGCTGATTTCTTGTGTTTTACGACTTTTCCGATCTTCCAGGACTTGTAGTTTCTCCCGTTTTACTCATCCGTCGTGTTGACTTGTATGCTCCACGCGAGTTGATTAATGTACGTTGATTAACGCCATCGTGAACTGACTGACGCGCACACTGATTGACATGCACGAGCTGAATGATGCGTGCGTGTTAACTGACTGTTGGGTGCGTTTGTACGCTTTGAGTTGATTAACGCGTGCGGTCCACTTGGTGTTTTCCATTGTGGTGGTTCGTTGTCGTGTCATCAACAGTTTGCCGATTCGCTTCATGCGCTTGTCGGCATTGGATAATCCTCTTTGATTTGGATAACGACGTTCATCACCTTCTCTTTGTCTTGAGCTGTGTGCGGGCACCCATAGGCATTTTTAGACGCCTACAGAAGCGCCTATCTCGGCTAAAGCGAGATATTTGCTCTTCTTAGGATTACCGGCGAAGGGTAATGCTAAGGAACGGACACGGGTGATGCAAATCTGATGAAGACATCTCTTGTGTTGAAGCGCTCGACCACTCTTCACTGCAGCAGGGCTTCGCCAACTCTCCAAAAATCCCAGATCCTCAAAAATGAGGCCTAAGGTTGCTATTTATAGGCAATGGGGGCACCTAGGGTGCCTAGACACCCCTGGGGTGTCTAGGCGTTGGGACACCCCTGGGGTGTCTAGGCCAGGCCTAGACACCCCTGGGGTGTCTTGGCTTTGCCTAGACACCCCTGGGGTGTTTCGACTTTCCCGAGACACCCCGGGTGTCCCAGTTCAGCCTGAGACGCTCCGTTGCGTATGTTTGATTGTTTCCGTCGTAAATTCTTCGTCCGAACTCGGATTTGAATGATTCCAAGTGCGTTGGAAGCTTGACGAAGAGTTACATCTGCTCCGATGGTTGGATTATCTGTAGAGTGATCGAGATATGAAGGGCATTGTTCTTTTTGTGAACATCGCAGGGTTCCCGATTGGCCCGTGCCTTCATTATTCCGAAATCCTATCAGCTCACGTAGTTCGTCGATTCACTTCAGTCGTTCATCGACGTCAATTGAACTCCTGTGAACCAGATGGTGACGTTCATTGTCGTTCCTTAACACTGAGCTATTCGTGGAGACCTATAGGCAATTTTCGATGCCTACAATGACACATATGAGTCGACTCATAACTGATGAGTCGACTGGTCAGAGACTTTTGCTAATAGGGCTTGATTTCTTGAGTCGACTCAAAACTGCATATGAGTCGACTCATGACTGATGAGTCGACTCATAAACTGATGAGTCGACCGAGCAGAAACTTTTGACAAAACGGCTGGGTTTCGTGAGTCGACTCATGACAGGCATGAGTCGACTCAACCTGATGAGTCGACTCATGTACATGTATGAGTCGACTCACAGGCTAAAATCTGGATACTTTGACTCTTCGATTCTCTGCCTCGTTCCTCGCTCCAACCTGCGTTCCCTTGTACTGTTTGACACCTCTATTTTCATGTTATCATGAGAATCATCTATCCTTAAGCTCCCATGAGGATCGCTAAGTTCCGAAGAGAAGATACACCCGTATCAACTAAAGGCAGCAAGCTCGATGAGCTCAAGAGGGGACAAGCCGTAATGGAGCGAGAGATGATCTGTAAAGATGAGAAGCTGAAGGTGGCTGTGGCTGGTGCTCAACGTCATGAAGCACAGCTAGCACAGGCCCATGATGAGGTGGAGAGCCTTAAGGAGGATGTTGACCATGCTCATCACGAGACACAGCTACTACCGGTGTGCATTGTTGGCGTTGGGGAAATAGTTTTCCTAACCCACTCTTCTTACCTTCACTGTTGGTGTTCACTTTTCTCCGAGAGGAACGATAGGTGATGGAGGAAGTTTAGCGAATAGATGCGGCCGAGATTGGTGGATTTTTGTTGGTCAATTTATCCGACATAGTTGGAGCTGATCGCTTTTCCATGATTTGGAATTCAAAAGGTGAAGATGAGGCCTCACGGCGAGTGTCAAACTGTATATGTTAAATTCTTCTATTCAATTTTTGTTTATCTAATCTTGTTTATGACATATATATTGTATGTTAAATATTTTGGTCATCTTTCTCCTGTGTTAGGACTTGTGATATTTCTGATTATCAATGTGTTTTTGGGTCTATTTGCAATCAAATATGCCATAATGTCTAACAAAATAATTGCGATAGAATTTTCAGACTCCCAAGTCTCCATACACGTTGTAGAGTAGAGACCTAATTTCTATCCAAAGTTGAACGGCCAACATTCTTTTCATAGCTAGCCTTCTTTCAGTACAATGTAACTTCCATGGTCCTCTATTGTGCTATATAATTGATTACAAAACTACGTCCAAATTCCAATCCAGGACTCCCAAGTCTTGAAGTCTTTTTTTTTATTCTCTTTCCACGCCCTTCATTATTCTTTGAATTATAAAGAAAAAAGACATGTCCCCTAAGTCTTCAAAGTCATGCAAGACTTGGTATGTGCACAAGTCTTACTACCACAACACTTCAAAATCATCGCCTGTTAAACTCTTCTTCCTTTCAAGTCCTTTTTTTTCCAATTTTTATTTTATTTATTTATTGTTTTTTGCCCTCTCAAGTCCTCCTTTTCTTTCTTTGTTTTTTTTGGGTGTCCGTTTGTATGATGCATGCATTTTTAGCATCAAACTTTAGAAATTTTCCAATGAGTTACAGGAAACTTGTCCTCGGCTTTCTCTTTCTATTACTCCTCTTGTTTTCATTTCTATATATATGTGACTGGTGACAAATAGGTGATAATACCTTCGACATCACTATATATGCTTTTTCAATAAGCTAGACAGGTAGATAGAACCTTTTTAGGGTCTAAAATCGATCTAGTACTTCTGTATTGAAAATGTTCACTGTAGAGCGAGGAGACAAATATCAACTTCGACATGATCCTATCAGATTAAAGTTTTAATATGAGCTTGAATCCCACTAATATCATGTCTGCACTACTTGGCTCTCTAGTAAAAATTGATTTGTCAAAATCAAGATTGGGCCTTGTCTAATACTTCAGAAACCTATGTCAATTTATGATAATATAGCAAGTTCAAAAGATTTTTCTGTAAGCGGCTGTTTGGTTCGTTGCCCATATATTGGGAAATACAATTCCATGGAAAGAAATCCAAGTTTGGGGTTTTCAAACTTTTCCAAAAAATATATTGTTTGGATTTGGTTCACACATAAAACGTGGTGGTAAATCAATGTATGCACTCTTCTTATTTTTGGTTGGTATGGAAAAAAACGAAAAACTTTTATTGATTAGACATTTTTCACTTTTCTTGTGTTTCGTTGGTATTGAAGTGTGTAGGAAAAAGCGTATACGGTCATCATGGTAAGTTTACCCTCACTAAAGACAAATTTATTTGTGATCGTTATGGGAGGTAATCTTACCAAAATAAAAAGTGCGCTCATTATAAATATCTGTTTGACATAAAAAATCATATGAAACCTGGAATAACATGATTCTATTGGTATGAACTGCGTACCTGATTTGACATTAAATATACCTGTTTGACATGGAAAAATCACACGAAACCTATTTGATATGAAAAAACTAAACGAAACCAGTAATAACCTGATTATTCATAATTTTATGAAATATGTACTTGAATTAGCGAAAAATTCTTATGAAACTTGTAAAACAATATATAAACAACCTGATTAGTCATAAATATGTATATGACATGGCAAATCGCATCAAACCTGAAAATACCAAACATCTACGTAATGGAGACCGTGTAGTTGAGTCAACTATCAGAAACAAAACCAGTTAGGTTTCAAAGCCATGAACGCTTCAAAACCATGGGAAATACCGGTAGAAATTTATTGATCCAAATAAATATTGTCAGATGCAACCTCCAACCACCAAGTTAACGTACCAGTCCATATACATCTATAAAATGCAATGTTTGCATACCAAATTCTAACAAAAAAAAATATGAGTAAGAAAAGTAAAAATATTGGTGAATCTTTATCTGCACCATCATCAAAGGTAAGAATATTTAAAAAAAATTGATAAACAATGGAGCTGGTTATTTTAATGTCAATTTACTATGTTTTTTTTATCAGCGTGGAAGGATTACTGGACATAAACAAACCTTTGAAGAATGGATTGCCTATACGGATGCAGATCGAGAGCAAGATGAAATGTGGGATATCATGGAATTAGCAGAAATTATGCTAAGAGCTAATGCTGTAAAAGTTATAGAACGAAATAAAAATAGGAAGTGTCCTTACTGCAAAGATGGACCCAACACTTTTTGCAACAAAAATGAACTCCTAACACACGCCCATGAAGTAGGTTACAATGAAGTTTCCAATCTGAGTAAGGAATGTATTGGAGAGCATCATGGTCTAGAAATTTATTTAAAATCGCTAAAATGAAAGCCTGGATATGTACTACTTTGTTATTATCGGGTACTACTTTGATAATTTATGCATGTTGATGAACTTTATGCGCAAAAAATCATTTGAAAATATTTCTTGACATCACATAAAATAAACCAGCCACATGTATATGCAAATTATGGCTAAGGGCTTAGAAATTGGTCAATATCATCATTGTTAGCCATCCAGTGCAATATCAATAGATATTGTAGGTTGCTAATCTCAAAAAATTTGACAATCATCATAGCCTAAAAGTAAAAAAAAATCACATTATGATCTCAAGGCTTGGTAGACACTATGTAAGCATGCAACCTCATGAATAAATAAAGATATGCATATGTCAAAAAACAACATAAGAACAAGTATTGTGCATAGCTTCAGAAATAGTCTCCAAGTAATACTTAACCAATCCATAAGCTTAAATCCAATATCGTCTATATATCACAAATGCCCAAGCAATGTCAGAAGCAGACAGGAAGCATATCAAACGAAAGGATGCATGGTTACTGCAGAAAAAGCCAAGACATTATCTAGAAATCTAAAGAGCATCCACAATGCAATTAGCTATAATAAATGTATAGTCATACTAAGCACATGTTCCTGCACGTACAACTTTGAGAATATCAGATTCCACACAGTAAGAGTGCATTAACAGCATGTAAGCGAACAATTAGAAAGCAAGCATATTAACAGATAGGATCAAGTACTTAGGGCATCTCCAACCCTTTGCCTCAAAATGGTGCAAATTTTGCACTAAAATGGTGCAAAAGTCACATCTAACAGTAATTCATCTCCAACCCATTGCACCATTTTTTGCACCAAAAAGGAATATTCTCAGTATCTTTCTTTTTATCTATTTTTATATGATTATTTTTTATTCCCTATATTTTTAACTATTTCAACAATTAACCTCACATATCAAATTTTATTTTTTCACATATTTTCCAAACAAAATGATTTATTATTTAAAAAATTAAACTAATAAAACAATAAAATATTATTTTATTAATTAAAATAACTTGATTGCTAAAATATTATATTTTTATTATTGATATTGCCAAAATATTACATTCAAGAACACAACAGAAAATAAAATTTACAAATTTAGTATGCACTTAACTATCTGAATTAGTGTATTCCTCCCATAGATGATCTATCAATGCATTACGAAGCGCAATATGGGCATCTTTATCCTTGATTTTTCCGTAACGTGCAATAAATTGAGTAAATCTTGTAGTTTCATCTGCTACCATATCAACTTCTGGTGTTGGTGCTTCCCTCACTTCTTGAATTAGTGCATAAAGATCACGTTCATCCTCGATTATCATATTATGCATAATAATGCATGCAGTCATTATGTCATATAATACATGTTTTTTCCAAAAACGTGCTGATCCTGCCACGATTGCAAATCGTGATTGGAGAACTCTGAACGCACGTTCTATATCTTTTCTACATGCTTCCTGTTTCATGGCAAAATATTTTTTCTTCCTACCTTGTGGCTGTTGGATTGTTTGTACAATAGTAGCCCATTTCGGATATATACCATCAGCTAAATAATAACCCATATTATACTCTTTTCCTTGAATAACATAGTGAGCGGGAGGAGCAATACCTTGAGCTAGGTTAGAGAAAAGATTAGATGACTCCAGCACATTGATATCATTATTGGTACCTGGCATACCAAAATATGCGTGCCATATCCAAAGATCATAATCTGCCACAGCTTCGAGGATAATAGTTGGTGACCCACTACGTCCTGTGTATTGCCCAGACCATGCTGTTGGAAAATTTTTCTATTTCCAATGCATACAATCAAGACTTCCTAACATTCCTGGAAAACCACGTTTTTTTCCAATATAGAGTAGCCTAGCAATATCGTTAGCGTTAGGTGTTCGTAGATACCGCTCTGCGAATATTTCCACCATAGCACGACAAAATTTTGTCATACTTTCAATTGCTGTTGACTCACCTATTTTAACGTATTCGTCCGTAGCACCAGCTGGTAGACCGTATGCCAACATGTGAAAAACAGCTGTTACTTTCTGTAACGGTGATAATCCCATTCTACCAAGTCCATCACTTCGTTGTTGGAAGTAATAGTCATGATCTTTCACTGCATCAACAATACGAAGGAACAAACTTCTTGACATCCGATATCGACGACGAAACATATCTTCTCCAAAACGTGGATTATCGGCAAAGTAATCTATGACCAAATTCTGATGCGCATTTTCTCGATCGCGGTTGATCACTGCATGACCAGGAATCGAGCCACCATGGATCGGTTGTAGTTTTGTTGACGTAAATTGTTAGCGATGATCATGTTGTTGTTGATGTACTCATAAATTACTTTTTCGGTTTCATCAATCTCTACAATGATATTGGACAGAAAATTATCATCATCCGAAGATGAAGATGATGATAAATATGATGGGCCTCCAACATCGAAATTCATTTTTGGAGTAAGAAAAGAATGACTGAAGTATACAGAAATGGAGAATAATAATTTTAACACAACAACGAGTAATTGTGTGGATGTACCTAATCTAGTATGCTATTTATAAAACTTTGCTTAGCTGTATACATTGAACAATGTGTAAAGTTGAGCTGATTTTAGGAAATGCTTTCCAGCTGTTATCAATTTGTCACAAAATTCAAATTTGCTTTTAGCTGTATACGTTGGACAATGTATAAAGCTGACCTGATTTTAAAAATTGATTCCCACTCGTACAAAGCTTTCACACAATTCAAGGAGAGCTGAGCTGTGTATACGTTGGACAATGTGTAAAGCTGACCAGTTTTTCAAAAATTGATTCCCACCGACAACGTTGGATAATGTGTAAAGCTGATCAGTTTGTACAAAATGATTCAATTTCAAATGTTGACCACCGACAAATTCAAATTCAAATTCAAATTCAAACAAATTTGGATTGGCTATAAATAACATTCATGAATTCTACTTCAAACCACCCAATTCGAAGTATTTCTTCAAAGTATTTATAATCTCCAAACCAACCGCCTTTTACAAAAAAATGTCTGTTCGATCATCTGGATACACGGTTACTGAAGATGTGCTCATTTGTCAAGTATTCTTGGATATTTCTCAAGACCCTATTATCGGTAGAAACCAGTCTCGAGATGCATTTTGGTCTCGTGTGGAGGACAAATACAATGAACTTCGAGATCAGCATTTTGAGATGCGTGTGAGCCGACGTTCTCGAATGGAAATCATAAGTAATGAAGTAAGGAAATTGAATGCGTGCTTGAGACAAGTAGAGAATCTGAATCCAAGTGGTGCTTCAGATGAAGATATTGTAAGTATTCTATTAATTATCGTTTGAATTTTATTATTATTGTTGAAATACATAACTTGATGTTCACTATAATTTACAGTTAGTTCGAGCAAAGATGTTATTTATGCAAGAACCGAAGTACAAAAAAGGTTTCAAATTTGATCATGTCTGGAATATGGTTAAAAATTTCAAAAAATTCAAAGATGATGTCCCCACAGCAAGACAAGTTGGTCGAAGACAATCCCAAAGTGTGAACTTCGACTCGTCACAATCAGATAATCCCACTCCGGAATCTCCTATATCAACATCTCCTAGACTATCATCATTTACTCCATCTGAACGACCTATTGGGGTAAAAAAAGCTAAATTGAAAAGGAAAAATGATGATCATGAGTCAAGTGTAGTGGACTCCATCGAGACCTCCAACAATCGACTTATAGACAGGTTAGACAAGGCGAGCTTGGACAGGCAAGAAGCATTTGATATCGAACGAGAAAAGATAGCCATGAAAAAAGATAGAGATGAATGGAAAATTATAATGAAAGATTTGAATTCCATTGCTGATCCAAACGTGCGTGAGTACGTTCGAGCTCAACAGATTAAAATAATACAAAAAAGAAATCAACAAGAACAAGGGTCTGCTTCTAATTTTGGCAATTATTTCAATGATATTGGACACTCTGGCCCCGATCTACCAGATTATTGAGAGTTGCTTGTCCATCTTAAGTAACGTCACCATGTTTAGTTTGTATTTTATGTTTTATTTTAATGAAGTTTTATATTATGTGTGTCAGTTTTTATATGTTATGTATTTCAGATATGTAATTTATATTTGAATTATGTATTATGATTGCTCTTTAATGAAGTTTTATATTATGTATGTCTAGATTTTAATATTATAATTAATAATAATGTCTGTTAAATTTTAGCATTTTTTTAATTTAAAAAAACCATAATTTATTTTGTCCACATTATACAATTGGGGTGAAATTATAAAATTTAAATATTATTAGGGTTGTTTTATATATTTAATGAAACAATTGGGGACAAATTGTAAATATATAAAAGTATGAGGTTTAAAAAAAATTGAAAAATAAAAAAATAAAAAAAAAACAGTAATGGGGGATGAACAGTGCGACGCCAAATATAGCGTCGCGCTGTTCATCCCCGTCAAAATGCGGCAACAAATGCCGCTCGATTGGAGCTCCCACGCAGCGGCATTTTCACTTTTCGCCTCAAAATGCCGCTGCGTTGGAGATGGTCTAAGTCAATCTTTGGTCTTGTTGAGAGTAAAAGTCTTCTAATTCTAGTATTGTACGAATAATGTCAATAAGTGACTGATCGATTGGTCTAAAATCCCAGACCTGCAAGACCTCATAGCAAGACCTCATACAAATGTCCGTATAACATGGAAAAAAATGAAGCAAGGATTGGTCTAAAATCCCAGACCTGCAAGACATCATAGCACAAACTGAAGTACGCAAGTGTGTTTATGTGTGTGTGTGGAGGAACTTGGTACTAAGCAGAAGTTTTTGTGCAAATGTGTCATCTCAATACAAAGCATTGTATTTGTCCTCGACTTTTGCACCAAGTTCATTGACTTTTTACAATTACAGTTGTAGAAAATACAATCGTGAACAGGTACAATTACAGTTGTAGAAAATACAATCGTGAAGTATAAAATATAAAAGTAAAAATTTAAACATTGCTAAATGCTAATTGGACTTTGTAAGAAAAATGATTTTATGTATAAGATCTGTTTAGGATCTACATATATTTATAGCAATTTTGGATAAAAATGATCAATTACAGAGTAAAGGATATAAACATAATGTTAGACAGACGTATCAGATTAAATTTAAGGTCAGATTAAATCTCATCTCACGTCTTCGAGTTGACTCTTCAAAACATTTGATTTGTAAAACTAAGATTAAAAATAACACTTTAATACCTCATAGTTTCACTTTGTTCTTACATATTCTCACTTGCTTTTCACGGTATTTATATAGTCTGAGTTGTTTAAAAATTGACACATAAACATCCTATATTTTGCAGGCTTGAACAACTTCACATTAATTTTCCTATATGGCACTCACATACTTGTTGATTCAAAGTGTCATACGAAAATATACATGTGAAATTTTTTAGATCGCATAATAGGGGATATCAAAGTACTAATTTTAAGCTAGTATAAACGCTGCGAAAAACATATGAGGCTATATATAAAGTGTGGAATGAGTTGAACTATAAGGTATTGAAATGCTAATTTAGCCCCAAAAAAAATGACACGAACGATACTTTTAGTTTGATATCTGATGATGTACTTCCCCCAAAATAATAATAATACTCTATTTCTCTCTTGTGCTTTTCCGCCAAAAATGTAAAATTTCAACATACGACTTCCACTCCGTTGGAGTCTTCTTTCAACATCCAAAATCACACACGAAAGAAAATCAAAAAAAAAAAAAACCACACACGAAAGTCTTCGCCATAATTGCATAATTAACAATCAATTAATGAGCTTTAATCAAAACCCCGCCACCTAAAAAGTCTTCAACCCACCAAATATTCCCAACATCACAATCACCCTCCTCCCTCTATTGCCTGCTTCCGCGCACCGCCCTCCCTCTATGTACTCTTCCCTCCGATGAGTTCCCGTCACCGCCCCCTCCTCCCCCTCCTCCACCGGTAACTCTACCGACCCCTCTCAATGCTCCTCCCTCCTAAACCTGAAACGATCCTTCACCTCTGCAGACCTCGGCACGTGGCAGCCAGACACGGACTGCTGCGGGTGGGACGGCGTCCTCTGCGACCCAGTCTCGGGCCTGGTCACCGCCCTCGACTTAAGCCACCGCGTCATCGCCGGTAAGCTCACCGCCGGTCTCTTTAATATCACCTCCCTTCGAAAGCTCGACCTTGCGTATAATGTGTTTGATGAAATTCCTATTCCAAATGAAATTGGGTCGCTTTTAAATTTGACCCATCTTAATTTATCAAATGCTGGGTTTTCTGGGCAAGTGCCCGTTGGGATTGTGAAGTTGACGAACTTGGTGTCGCTTGATTTGTCGACGATTTCCTTGGTTCAGAGTTCTCTTAGTCTTGTGAATCCTAATCTTGGAACTTTGATTGGGAATTCGAGTGAGTTGAGAGAGTTGTATCTTGATAGTGTAAACATTTCGGCAAATGGGCATCGGTGGGGCGCAGCGGTGGCGAAATCTACTCCGAAACTGACAGCTTTGAGCTTGACGAGCTGTTCGATCACTGGGCCTATTGATTCTTCACTCTCGAAGTTGAGCAAGTTGTCGGTGGTTCGATTGGATCAGAATGAGTTGAATTGCAGTGTGCCTGATTTCTTCGGAAAGTTGTCTTCTTTGAGTGTGGTTAGTCTCAGTTTTTGTGGGCTTACTGGATTTTTCCCAAAGGATGTGTTTGTCTTGAAGAACTTGACAAATATTGACTTGTCAAATAATCTGATGCTTTCTGGGTCATTGCCAGATTTCTTTAATGACAGTAGGTTGAATAGTTTGGTGCTATCCGGGTCGAATTTTTCTGGGTATTTGCCGAATTCTATAGGGAAGCTGAAATCTCTGACAAGAATGGATCTTTTCAATTGTCAATTTTCAGGAGTCGTACCCTTTTCAGTAGGCAACTTAAGCCAAGTTGTTTATTTGGACCTTTCAATCAATAATTTCACCGGTCCAATCCCTTCTTCTATGCCACCAAGAGTGTCTGAGCTGATACTTTCAAACAATAGGATGACTGGTCCGATCCCTTCATCTATTGGAAAGCTTGAGCATGCAGTGAAGATTGATTTTTGTAATAATTTTCTTTCTGGGGAAAATCCGGACGTCTCTATTTGCTCTCGCATTGTTACAAGAAGTGCAATTGAGTCTGAACCAACTTTTAGAAGTTGAAGAATAAAAAATGGATCACCTGGCTTGGCAACTGTGGATTTGAGCAATAATATATTGCTAGGAGAGATTCCAAGGTCAGTCTTTCAGCTCTCGGCGCTTAAAGTTTTTACCATCGCATCGAAATAACTTTAGCGGGACAGTTGACGTTGATTGGTTTACTGCTCTTAGTAACCTCTCGAGTCTGGATCTATCAAATAATAGGATTTCGGTAGAGGATAAGGGTGGTAATGCTTCTATCCCCAAACTTGGCGCGTTGATGTTAGCTACTTGCAATTTGAAGAGGGTTCCAAGTTTCTCAATGCATCAAGATCAGATGGGTATCCTAGACCTCTCAAACAATAAAATTCATGGTGCAGTACCCGATTGGATATGGAATATTGGGAACAATAGTCTGATATATTTAAACCAGTCTTTCCAACATGTTCACCTCTGTTGAAGGTCCTCTTCCAAATTTCAAAAAGAATACAGCAATAACTCTTGATCTCCATTCAAATTTGCTCAAAGGGCCTATTCCACTTCCCCCAACAAGTATCATCATTGTTGATTACTCGAACAACAGCTTCTCGTCTTTTATTCCACCGAAACTCACCTCCTACCTTAATTTTACCATTTTCTTTTCACTTGCTCACAATAATGTAACGGGAGAGACTCCACCATCAATTTGTAATGCAATCAATCTCGTAGTCCTTGATTTCTCTGACAACGGTTTGAATGGTTTGTGTCCTCCGTGTCTTTTGGAAAGTTATAATGAACTCCGAGTGCTAAACTTAGGAGGAAACCAGCTTCGAGGAACTATTCCCTGGAACATCAGTGAAGGATGTGGGTTAAGAACAATAAATTTCAATGACAATCATTTGGAAGGGAATGTACCTAAATTAGTGACCAGATGCAGTGAGCTCGAGGTTCTTGATCTTGGAAGCAATCACATAAGTGGTCTTTCCCCTTTTGGCTGGGGAGCATTTGTTCTCTTCGAGTTCTAGTTCTGAGATCAAATGAACTCCATGGCTATGTTGGTTCTCCTCCAGAGACTCATTCAAATAACAATACCTTCTCAATGCTTCAAATCTTTGATATTTCCTCTAATTACTTCAACGGCACTCTTCCCTTGGATTTCTTCAAGAAATTGAAGGCAATGATGCATTCAGATTCTAATCTCTCAACTCTGCGATTTGAATACAAGAAATCGTCTCCCTCCTGCTACCAGAACGCAGTTACAGTTAAAAGCGAAGGGTTGGTCATGACACTAGTAAGGTTATTGGCAAAGGTATTTATGTCTCTCTATTTCTCTAATAATCACTTTGAAGGTAATATCCCTGCGGTGATTGGTCAGCTCCAAGGACTTCATGCACTAAACCTTTCGTACAATTCGTTTATAGGAAAGGTCCCCGCATCAGTAGGAAACTTGAAACAATTGGAGTCGTTGGGCCTCTCGACTAACAGTCTCTATGGTGAGATTCCTCAAGAAATGACGTCTCTCACATGCCTCTCTTACTTGAATCTCTCCCACAACTATTTTTCTGAACAAATTCCTCAAAGCAATCAGTTCTCTACATTTCCGAACACTTCTTTTTGGAGGAAATCAGTGGTTACGTGGGAGCCCGTTATCGAAGAAATGCAGCGGAGGGAGGGGAAATGGGACTGATACGCTGAAGCATTCTAAGTCTAGCAATTCGGTGGCGAGCTATGTGATTGGATTGGCATTGTGTGTTGGTGGAGGATTTGGAGTGGGGATTGCTTGTGCTACAAAATTTGAAGCAATGGAAAAAGTGAAATGCTAATCTTCGATAAATAAGATACAAAATGTTGCGAGTGATGAATGCATCTTGAGTATTGCAACTAAATGTCTTTGTTGAAAGTTTTTTTGGAAAAATTCTTGATTATATTGATTTGCTTTGTGCGGTGCATAAATTTGTATCTGCTGATGTTTGAAGGAGGGTATAGGTCAAGCGAGAGTGTTCTTTTATTTAAGGCTAAATAGCACTTACTGCATGTTTGGCTATTACTTATTTTTTGAGTACTTGTAAGTTACTTAATACTTATTCTCAAACTCCTTATAAATATATAAGAAAATAAGGAAATTGTTTGGTAAACCCCTTGACTTATTAGAATATAAAAGTAGTTATGTTTGGTAAATTAATTACTTATAAGGTTGTGTCAAATATTAAAGAGATTTTACATGAAAACCATCCTAATTTTTGCCCAAATATTTATTTTTTATGTAAACCACCTTAGTTTATTTACATGTCTCTGAATGTCGCATTTTATATATTTTCTATTTTTTTAAAAATATGAAATGACAGTAATACCCCCTATCTAACCCAATAGAAAAAAGAAGAGGAGGGGGAGGTGAGTGGGGAAGGGAAGTTAGTCGGGTCGATAGCATGAGAGGGAAGGAGATCGACAATAAGAGTGGAGAGATAGGAGGAGGGAATGAGGAGGAGGAGAGAAAGGAGGTGAGGAAGGTAAGAATGGAGGAGGAGGTAAAGGAGGAGGAGAGAAAGGAAGTGAGGAAGGTAAGAATGGAGAAGGTAAAGGAGGAGGAGAAGAGGAAAGGAGATAGGGTTTAGAGAAACCCTAGAAATGGAGGAGATGGTGGTGGAGGACGTTCAGGGGAAAGGGAGGAGCTAGAGGGGCCATTGATAGAGGGGGAGGAGAAGGAAAAAAATTATAGGGTTTGGAGAAACCTTAAGGGCATGTTTGGATTCGTAAGGGGTGAAGGGAAGTTAAGGGACACTGAGTGAAGGGAAGGGAAGGGAAAGGAAGGGAAGGGAATGGAATTCCCTTCCCCTTAGTTACACCTCAATTTAGGGGGTAACAATTTTTATACTATTAGGGGGTGAACCAAGGTGAATGGAGGTGAATTAACTTCACCTCCTAAAAGGTGGAGGAGATGGTGGAGGAAGAACGGGAGGATATGGAGAAGAGAGTGAAGAAATGACGTGTTTTTTGGGACTGAATAGTGGCGAAAATGTGAAAAGAGCTTTGCTACGGGGACCCAAAATATGGGACCAATAGGAGGGACAAGTGAGGTGCCTACCTCCTATTGGATAATGAGTTGGTCATCATTAATGATGACCAACTCATTATCCAATAGGAGGGGGGACACCTCACTTGTCCCCTCTATTGGTCTCATATTTTGGGTCCTTGAGGAATTTTTCATGTGAAAATGAGAATATGTAAGAAACTAAAATGGTTTACATCAAAAAAATAAATAAATATGAAAGTTACAATTTGGGTAAACATTAGGATGGTTTTCATGTAAAAACCCAATGTTAAATGATCATAAAGGACATATTATTGTTACTTCATATTTTGACTAATTAATTCAAGTTATATTAACTAGATAATTAATAATATTAAATTTATTAATAATAAAATAATTAATTTCAAATTAATTATTTTGGATTAATTATAATTATAAATTAATAGTATTGAGTTTAATTAAATAATTTCATTGTAATGAAATATTATTATTAACAAATCAATTACTTAATTAAAACTTCGTTATCTCATAATAAGAAATATGTTTGATTATTAATTACTAATATTGAGAATAATTAATTAAATTAATATTAATAAATTATTATTAGTAATAAAATAAATAGATAATTAAAAATTAGTTATCTCATAAAAAGAAATATATTTGATTAAAATATTTTATATGTTACATTATTTGTGATTATTAACTACTAATATTATGATTAATTAATTAATTTCATATTAATAAAGTATTTTAATTAATAAAATTATTAATTAATATATAAATATTAGTTATTTCATAGTAAGAAATCCACTTTATTAAAATACTTTTATATAATACATTTTGTTATTATTAATTAATAATGTCAAGATTTATCAATTTCATATTAATAAAATAATAATATTAACAAATTAATTAACTAATTAACTAATATAATCACTTTATAATAAGAAAATATTTAACTAAGTAAAGGGAACATGATGATATTTTTGTCTTTTGACGAGAATAAGAAAAGTTCCTTACAAGTAGAGAAAAATTAAGATGGGAAATCCTAACTTGTTTTTCCCTACTGATAAGTAACAAATAAGTAAAATAATTAATCCTTACCAAACATCACATTATCACTTAATAAGTGAAAAGTTAATTATAAAGAGAAATAAGTAAGTTGCCAAATATGCTCTAATACCTCATAGTTTCACTCAGCTTAGCATTTATTTACCCTCATTTGCTTTTTAGAGTATTTATATACCCTAAGTTATTTAAAATTGGCAAGTTGTTACCCTAAATCATGTAAACGTGAAAATTTTCATCAAGAGGTTCATCCATGATACTTATGAGCTAATTATAGAGCTTTTTAAATGCTTATATTTGTTGTATTTACTATTAAATCTACCAAAATTTTATTCTGATATCCTAAGGGCTTGTTTGGATTGAGGGGAATAAGGGTGAAGGGAAGTTAGGGGAACCAGAATCACCTTGTTTGGGAACATTTAGGAGGTGAAGTTATTCACCCTAGTTCCCCTTGGTTCACCTCCTAAAATTTGTTTCCTTCCCCTTGGTTACACCCTAATAGTATAAAATTTGTTACCCCCTAAATTAGGGTGTAACCAAGGAGAAGGGAACAAATTTTAGGGGGTGAACCAAGGGGAACTAGGGTGAATAACTTCACCTCCTAAATGTTCCCAAACAAGGTGAATGGTTCCCCTAACTTCCCTTCACCCTTATTCCCCTCAATCCAAACAAGCCCTAAGGTATGGTGTTATACATGGGTAACACTGAAGTTTGTGACTCCACACAACTAACCCCAAGATTACTAATTGGACATGCGTGATCCTAGAATGCAAAGGAAAAGCAACTCTCAGGGTTACCCGTATAATTACAACTAGCTAGTTAGCCTCAGAATTACTCGTGTAGATTCACAAACTCTAGGGTTATTCGTGCAATAACATCATATCTTAGAATACCAGAATGTAATTATAAGGTTGTTGATGTTAATGATCACACAATCAATTAAAATGGTTGGATGAAGTTGATGATGGGCCGCTCCCTTCTTCGAATATCCGGTCTTGAGTTAGGTACCTTTCCAGCCTGCACAAGTAGAAACTCGTGAGAGGACGGGGACCAGTCCCCCCGTGGTTCCTCCGACAATCAATTCATCTGGTGAACTTGAGTGGGGAATTGAAGAACTTTGAGAGTTCTTTTGTGTAGTGCAGTATAATTTGCAGATATTACTTAAAAGTTCAGATCTGGAAGTCAGAATCTGGAAGAAGTTCTATGTTAGAATAATACCTCTATTTATACTGATGGTATAAGGGTATAATGGTCACTTCAGCCGAGTACAGGATGTCGGTGAAGAAGTGTGGGCTGGCGGCTGCGTCAGCACCTACTTTACAGGTGTCGACTGGCGACTGGGGGAGAGATCACTTCCGCATTAAATGAGGAGCGATTAGAGGCATGACGGTGCTGAAGTGATCCTATGAGTCATGAAGACTATCGGGGCTAGAGGCATGATAGCGCCTGTCAAACATTAAATGCGATGCTGACACGTTGTCAGTGGGAGAGTCCCTAGGCTGAAGTCGTCCCTTGGCTTACTCGAGAAGTAATGCTTCTTGAGTCGACCCCGCAATTGTGTCGTATAGCTGGCCGAGTGGGCTCGTAGCGAGTCGTCTTCGACGAGAGGGCCGACAAGTTACGTCATTCGAGTCGACATAAGGGAATGTCGACTCGATGAGTCGGCTAAGTTGGAATCCTTGCGGGTCTTTGGCCGCCAATTTGATTGGGACATTGCATGCAGAAGTACATCTGTCTGTTGCTGGCAAAGGGTCGCACTTTGGCGATTGAAAACACCATAACAAAGGCCTTCTTAATTCTACTTTATTTTAGAGATGGGATTGGTTTAACGATAAATTGAGCAAATATTAATTGTTAAAAATCTCTATAATTAGCTTGTAAGTATCATAGACGAACATTTGGTGAAAATTTCCGTGTTTGCACTATTGAAAGAGGAGTAACTCGCCAACTTTAAACAACTTTCGGTATACAAAGGCTATCATAAACAAGTGGGGGTATATAAGTGCTAAGTGAGTGGAACTATGAGGTATCAATTGCTATTTAGCCTTTATTTGACTACTAAAAATGTTGTTCTCGCTTGGGAAAATATCTTCCAAAGTATTCATTTGTATGTCATTGACATTGATGTTTCAATCTCACATAAGACGAGAGGAATTTGTGCGCGAATTCGTTGATCAGGTACATGTTTGCATCAGCATTTCCACCAAGTAATTTTCTTAAGCAAGAAATTCATGAGTTATCTTTGTTCGAACAATAATAAAATGATTGATACTTGCCACTAACTAAATCTTAAGCAAAACTGTTTGATAAAGACCGACGTAAGAAGTCAATGAGAGTTGGGCAGTAACTGGTTTCTCTCTTTTGTTTCCTCCTTTCGTTTTGCTTCCCTCTTCCCATTTGCGGAATTTGTAGACTTTTCACATTTTATCACCTAGTTGGCTCTCAGCATTAGCTTACAAGTTAAGACCAGACTTTTTCAGACTTAGCTATAAAAGTGAAAACGCAATCATGCCGCTATCTTTTTCTGTTCTTTATGTTTTTCCTTCTGTTTCTGTTTTTGTCTTTTTTTAAAGTTTTATATTTCACTTTTGACTATAATGTAGCTTTTGTAGCCTGAGTTTGAAAGTAGAACATTTTTTTTGGGGGGAAAATGCTTCTAGCCCCTAAAAGCCAAGAAAACGTGCTTCCCACCCTCAAGACTTTGTCAACGGGTGTTTTACCCCTAAAAATAAAGATTTTGTTCTCTGAGCCCCCAAAACACAAAACCCAAGAGATTAAAATATGTGAAGACCATAATACCCTCCTCTCTCTCTTTCTTTTTTTATTAAAATATGATGATGATTATTTTATTATTTTCGTTTTCTCTCTCTCTTTATCATAATGTACTGAGATGATAGTTGAAATGATTGATGATAATTATTTTATTATTTTCGTTTTTTATTATTTTTGTTGTTTGTATTGGGAGATTGTTAAAGTTACGGGTTAATTGTTAAGGTTACGAGTTAATTGTTAATGTTACGGGTCAATTGTTAAGGTTATGAATCCTCTCTCTCTCTCTCTCTCTCTCTCTCTCTCCCCCTCTCTCTCTCTCTCTCTCTCTCTCTTTTTCCCTCTCTCTCTCTCTCTCTCTCTCTATCATGATGTTACTTTGATGATATTGAAATGATTATTATTTTATTATTTTCGTTTTTTATTCTTTTCGTATTTTTAGAATATTCGTTGTTAAAGATTAATGGTTGGTTGTAAAGGTTATGCATTGATTGTTAAGGTTACGGGTTGGTTGTTAAGGTTACGGGTTTGTTGTTAAGGTTATGGGTTTGTTGTGTAGGTTACGGATTTGTTGTTAAGGTTACGAGTTTAATTGTTAATGTTACGAGTTTAATTGTTAAGGTTACATGTTTAATTGTTAAGGTTACAGGTTTAAATGTTACGTTACGGTTTAATTGTTAATGTTACGGTTTAATTGTTAAAATTATGGGTTTAATTGTTAAGGTTACGAGTTTAATTGTTAATTGTTACGGTTATGGGTTTAATTGTTACGGTTACGGTTTTAACTGTTAAGGTTACGGTTTTAACTGTTAAGATTACGGGTTTAATTGTTAAGGTTACGGTTTAATTGTTAAGGTTATGGATTTAATTCTTAAGGTTATGGGTTTAATTGTTAAAGTTACGGGTTTAATTGTTAACGTTACGGGTTAATTGTTAAGGTTACGGGTTTAATTATTAAGGTTACGAGAGAGAGAGAGAGAGAGAGAGAGAGAGAGAGAGAGAGAAGGGATCCATAACCTTAACAATTGACCCGTAACCTTAATAATTAAACTCGTAACCTTAACAATTAAACCCGTAACCTTAACAATTAAACCGTAACCTTAACAATTAAACACGTAACCTTAACAATTAAAACCGTAACCTTAACAATTAAACCCGTAACCGTAACAATTAAAGCTGTAACCTTAACAATTAAACCCGTAACGTTAACAATTAAACCCGTAACCTTAACAATTATAAACACATAACCTTAACAATTAAACCGTAACCTTAACAATTAAACTGTAACCGTAACAATTAAACCCGTAACCTTAATAATTAAACTCGTAACCTTAACAACAAATCCGTAACCTACATAACAAACCCATAACATTAACAACAAACTCGTAACCTTAATAACCAACCCGTAACCTTAACAATCAATGCATAACCTTTACAACCAACCATTATCCTTAACAACGAATATTCTAAAAATACGAAAAGAATAAAAAACAAAAATAATAAAATAATAATCCTCTTCAATCATTTCAATATCATCAAAGTAACATCATGATAGAGAGAGAGAGAGAGAGAGAGAGAGAGAGAGAGAGGATTCATAATCTTAACAATTGACCCGTAACATTAACAATTAACTCGTAACATTAACAATTAACCCGTAACTTTAACAATCTCCCAATACAAACAATAAAAATAATAAAAAACAAAAATAATAAAATAATCCTCATCAATCATTTTAACTATCATCTCAATACATCATGATAAAGAGAGAGAGAAAACAAAAATAATAAAATAATCCTCATCATATTTAAAAAGAAAGAGAGAGAGAAGGGTATTATGGTCTTCACATATTTTAATCTCTTGGGTTTTGTGTTTTGGGGGCTCAGAGAACAAAATCTTTATTTTTAGGGGCAAAACACCCGTTGACAAAGTCTTGGGGGTGAGAAGCACGTTTTCTTGGCTTTGGGGGGCTGGAAGCATTTTTTCCTTTTTTTTTTGGTAAATGAAATTTCAATTTGAAAGTAGAACTTCTTATACTAATAAAAAAAACCCACATTTTTACCATTAACATCAAGAATGAGAACTGAAACATATGCGTCCATTTATTTGGTGTAGTGGCAATTGAAGTTGAACCATTCTAGAACCTCATATGTCAGCATAACTAATTAAAGTAAAATATCCATTAATTTGCGCAGAAAAGAATATTAATCTTGAAAATAAAAAAAATAATTAAACCTCTAAAATATGGTTATTATTTTAGATGAAATGGACATAGCTTCAAGCTTTTTTTAATAAAACTCCACAGTGCATATTCACATTTTTCTAGTACCAACGCAGCTACAATTACAGTTGTAGAAAATACAATCGTGAACAGGTACAATTACAGTTGTAGAAAATACAATCGTGAAGTATAAAATATAAAAGTAAAAATTTAAACATTGCTAAATGCTAATTGGACTTTGTAAGAAAAATGATTTTATGTATAAGATCTGTTTAGGATCTACATATATTTATAGCAATTTTGGATAAAAATGATCAATTACAGAGTAAAGGATATAAACATAATGTTAGACAGACGTATCAGATTAAATTTAAGGTCAGATTAAATCTCATCTCACGTCTTCGAGTTGACTCTTCAAAACATTTGATTTGTAAAACTAAGATTAAAAATAACACTTTAATACCTCATAGTTTCACTTTGTTCTTACATATTCTCACTTGCTTTTCACGGTATTTATATAGTCTGAGTTGTTTAAAAATTGACACATAAACATCCTATATTTTGCAGGCTTGAACAACTTCACATTAATTTTCCTATATGGCACTCACATACTTGTTGATTCAAAGTGTCATACGAAAATATACATGTGAAATTTTTTAGATCGCATAATAGGGGATATCAAAGTACTAATTTTAAGCTAGTATAAACGCTGCGAAAAACATATGAGGCTATATATAAAGTGTGGAATGAGTTGAACTATAAGGTATTGAAATGCTAATTTAGCCCCAAAAAAAATGACACGAACGATACTTTTAGTTTGATATCTGATGATGTACTTCCCCCAAAATAATAATAATACTCTATTTCTCTCTTGTGCTTTTCCGCCAAAAATGTAAAATTTCAACATACGACTTCCACTCCGTTGGAGTCTTCTTTCAACATCCAAAATCACACACGAAAGAAAATCAAAAAAAAAAAAAACCACACACGAAAGTCTTCGCCATAATTGCATAATTAACAATCAATTAATGAGCTTTAATCAAAACCCCGCCACCTAAAAAGTCTTCAACCCACCAAATATTCCCAACATCACAATCACCCTCCTCCCTCTATTGCCTGCTTCCGCGCACCGCCCTCCCTCTATGTACTCTTCCCTCCGATGAGTTCCCGTCACCGCCCCCTCCTCCCCCTCCTCCTCTTACTCCTACTCTCCTACGCCGGTAACTCTACCGACCCCTCTCAATGCTCCTCCCTCCTAAACCTGAAACGATCCTTCACCTCTGCAGACCTCGGCACGTGGCAGCCAGACACGGACTGCTGCGGGTGGGACGGCGTCCTCTGCGACCCAGTCTCGGGCCTGGTCACCGCCCTCGACTTAAGCCACCGCGTCATCGCCGGTAAGCTCACCGCAGGTCTCTTTAATATCACCTCCCTTCGAAAGCTCAACCTTGCGTATAATGTGTTTGATGAAATTCCTATTCCGAATGAAATTGGGTCGCTTTTAAATTTGACCCATCTTAATTTATCAAATGCTGGGTTTGCTGGGCAAGTGCCCATTGGGATTGCGAAGTTGACGAACTTGGTGTCGCTTGATTTGTCGACGATTTCCTTGTTTCAGAGTTCTCTTAGTCTTGTGAATCCTAATCTTGGAACTTTGATTGGGAATTTGAGTGAGTTGAGAGAGTTGTATCTTGATAGTGTAAACATTTCGGCAAATGGGCATCGGTGGGGCGCAGCGGTGGCGAAATCTACTCCGAAACTGACAGCTTTGAGCTTGACGAGCTGTTCGATCACTGGGCCTATTGATTCTTCACTCTCGAAGTTGAGCAATTTGTCGGTGGTTCGATTGGATCAGAATGAGTTGAATTGCAGTGTGCCTGATTTCTTCGGAAAGTTGTCTTCTTTGAGTGTGGTTAGTCTCAGTTTTTGTGGGCTTACTGGATTTTTCCCAAAGGATGTGTTTGTCTTGAAGAACTTGACAAATATTGACTTGTCGAATAATCTGATGCTTTCTGGGTCATTGCCAGATATCTTTAGTGACAGTAGGTTGAATAGTTTGGTGCTATCCGGGTCGAATTTTTCTGGGTATTTGCCGAATTCTATAGGGAAGCTGAAATCTCTGACAAGAATGGATCTTTCCAATTGTCAATTTTCAGGAGTCATACCCTTTTCAGTAGGCAGCTTAAGCCAAGTGGTTCATTTGGATCTATCGATGAATAATTTCACTGGTCCAATCCCTTCTCTTCTGCCCTTAAGCCAAGTGGTTCATTTGGATCTATCGATGAATAATTTCACTGGTCCAATCCCTTCTCTTCTGCCACCAAGAGTGTCTGAGCTGATACTTTCACACAATAGGCTGACTGGTCCTATCCCTTCATCTATCGGAAAGCTTGAGCATGCAGTGAAGATTGATTTTTGTTATAATTTTCTCTCTGGGAAAATCCCCGCATCTCTATTTGCTCTCCCATTGTTACAAGAAGTGCAATTGAGTATGAACCAACTTTTGGATGTTGAAGAATTAAAAAATGGATCATCTCACTTGGCAACTGTGGATTTGAGCAACAATCTATTGCAAGGAGAGATTCCAAGGTCAGTCTTTCAGCTCTCGGGGCTTAAAGTTCTTAACCTCGCATCGAATAATTTTAGTGGGACAGTCGAAGTTGATTGGTTTACCGCTCTTAGTAACCTCTCGAGTCTGGATCTATCAAATAATAGGATTTCGGTAGAGGATAAGGGTGGTAATGGTTCTATCCCCAAATTTGGCACGTTGATGTTAGCTACTTGCAATTTGACCAGGATTCCAAGTTTCTTAATGCATCAAGATCAGATGGGCATCTTAGACCTCTCAAACAATAAAATTCATGGTGCAATACCCAATTGGATATGGAATATTGGGAAGAATAGTCTGACGTATTTAAACCTCTCTTTCAACATGTTCACCTCTGTTGAAGGTCCTCTTCCAAATTTCAACAAGAATACACCAATAATTCTTGATCTCCATTCGAACTTGCTCAAAGGGCCTATACCACTTCCCCCAACAAATACCATCGTTCTTGATTACTCAAACAACAATTTCTCATCTTTTATTCCACCAAAACTCACCTCCTACCTTAATTTTACCATTTTCTTTTCACTTGCTCACAATAACATAACGGGAGAGATTCCACCATCAATTTGTAATGCAATCAATCTCCAAGTCCTTGATTTCTCTGACAACAATTTGAATGGTTTGATACCTCCATGTCTTTTGGAAAGTTATAATGAACTCCGAGTGCTAAACTTAGGAGAAAACCATCTTCGAGGAAGTATTCCTTGGAACATTAGTGAAGAATGTGGGTTAAGAACAATAAATTTCAATAATAATCATTTGGAAGGGAATGTACCTAAATTATTGACCAGATGCAATGAGCTCGAGGTTCTTGATCTTGGAAGCAATCACATAAATGGGTCTTTTCCCTTTTGGCTTGAGAGCATTGATTCCCTTCGAGTTCTCATCCTGAGATCAAATGAACTCCAGGGAACTATTGGTACTACTCCAGGCTCTAATTCACATAACAAACCCTTCTCGATGCTTCAAATCTTTGATATCTCCTCTAATTACTTCAGTGGCACTCTTCCATTAGATTGCTTCAAGAATTTGAAGGCAATGATGCATTCTGATTCAAATATCTCGACGCTGCAATTTGAGTACATGAAGTTGGATCCCTCCTACTATCAGAACACGGTTACAGTTACAAGTAAAGGGCGTGACATGACGCTAGTAAGGATATTGACGATCTTCACATCACTTGATTTCTCGAACAACAGCTTCCGAGGCAATATACCAGACATTATTGGGGATTTTGTTTCCCTTGAAGTGCTAGACTTTTCTGACAATGAACTTACAGGAAATATTCCTTCATCAATTGGAAATTTGATGCAACTTGAGTCATTGGATCTCTCAGGGAATTTTCTCTCTGGTGAGATTCCTATGACACTAAGTAATCTCACTTTCCTCTCGTTCTTGAATCTTTCAAGCAACAACTTGATGGGCAGAGTTCCTCAAGAAAATCAGCTCTCTACATTCACAAATACGTCTTTCGAAGGGAATGAAGGTTTATGTGGTGACCCGTTAACAAAGCAGTGTGACAATTCAAGTGCAAATCCAAACCGTAGAGCTTTTGTGCCTGCGTCTGAAGTAAATTGGTATTTTGTGTTCATAGGGTTAGGATTCGGAGGGGGGTTGGCTATGGTGATTGGAATTATAACGTTTTGGGAGAAAGGGAGAAATAGGTACAATAAGAAGGTTGATGGGCTTCTTGATCCTGTTCTTGTTTTTGCATTTTCGCTAGTCTGTGATTACTTCAGAGATAGGAGAGTTGGAGCTGAGGAGGTGGTGGACTGTGATTCTAAGGAGATCGATCATGGAAGAAGGTTTTGTGTGTTCTGTACTATGTTAGAGTTTTCTCATGGAAGAACACGGGTACATCATGTTAAATGTGATTGTCCCTTGGAAGAGGAGAATTGAGTTTTTGTGTGCGTGCGTGTGTGTAAATATAGCAGCAAGTATACATACCATGTGAACAATACAAAGGCACCAAGATATATATCAGTGGTGCATGATGATGGACTAGGCAAATGTATTGTTATCATTTTTTTTGGAAGTTTTCATTACAATAGTTTGAGAGTTCTGCAACACCTGTAAAATTATGCAAGGCGCTTTTCTTCATGGTAGATTCCACCAGCTACTCCCTGAAAAATAATTAGCTTTCCTTGATCTCAACCATTTCAATTTAGTAATACAATTTGAAAATTTTAAAATACCCAAATTATGTTGGTATGGTCAATTTCCTATAACAATAATGATGATTGATGTCAAGGAGAAGCAAGAGCAAGACTGACTTTTTCTCATCGGTACTCAATTCCTTCTTGAGCTTATCCTGATTTCCTAGTATCTTCCCATAGGCTTGAAGGGGTCCATGAAACCCAACGCTCAAACGAGCATGAGTCTTCTATTTCCTATTTAGGAAAAAAAAGAGCCTGAGTCTTAATTCTACAAAGTCTAACGTAGGAGAAATTTACATTACGTGCTTGGTGACTGAAATTTGATATTTGCCCTTTTATTAATTGTAAACGAGAGTGATTTGTGAGAAATCTCAGATTTAAGTCCTTACAAAGACTTGTCATTTAATGGTCATTGGTCTGTAGATCAAATTTGTGTCTTTTTCTTTCTTTGTCCATCCTATTACGCCGCACTCGAACTTTGTCCCCCAAGAGTCCGCGGAACTTGTTCTCACATGGAATAAGCTTTAAAACTTAACGAGTTCTTTTAAAAAAAAAAAAAAAAAAAAAATTAACGAGTTACAACCCTTTCTGGATGCAAATAAGTGACAACAAGCTCCGCGAAACTAACATAAACTGCAGTTACATGCAACTGGATTCTAATTCATGTTTCGAGAGTGACGACCCCTGTCAACTTGTTAGACAAAAACAAACCCGTCACTGACTTAATTTTCTGTCCAGTTCGATGACTTAGTATGCGTTTCATCTCTATTTGCGGTTTTGTTTCTCAAGTAGAAAGTTCACGTATATCCTTTACCGTTGGTGTTGAGGACATACAATCAAATTGTGAATTTGAAGATTTTATCTTGATCAGTGATACGTATCATATTGTTTGTAAAACTCCCTTTTTATTTTATCTTTGCATGATCGTTAGCAATTTTCCCCCCTAACAAATGCACGCGGGCTTGATCAGATTAAACGTTAACCATGCACACGGCACACTAGAAAATGTATTTATATGCAGCACTAACAGGACCTCGAGACTTCTAGTCATGAAACTGAACGGTAAGCCGTCTATTTAAAAATAGATTAATTATACTGAGCTACCAGGAAGTATAGTGTAATTACATGGGTGATCATAGAGTTTGTGTATCTATACAGCTAGGCCGAAGATTATTGATTATAATTACACGGAATCAGTCATTTCAGAACTCCGAGCTCACTCGTGTAGTTACATCATACTTCAAATAATCTGACTGTTATTTGTCCTAAAAAAAAACATTACATTACACATATGTAGCAAGTGAGACAGATTATAGGGCTAAGAAAATAAGTGTGAAATATGATACAATTAAGCAAAAAGTGTCCACCAGATGGTTCCACATCCATTATTCTTCGCCACTGCCAACACGCCACAACCCCCTTTCGCTCTCTCTGGATTCTTTTTATTTTCCTTCTTTTTTCCTTTCCTTCAAAGGGAAAGAACAAAAGCGAACAGATAAAAATGACCTATATAACAAGGAAAAGGCAGAATCTCTTATTTATTTGACAAATATCTTAAAGAGACGCCCCCTTAATATTCTAGTTTACTTCAATCACAAGCAATGTTAATATACAATTCATCACCAACGACAGCAAACTGTGATGATAACCGTATGTAAACCTCTAAAAGTTGAAGGCGAAAAGAACGACGTCTATAATACATGCAACTGCCATGACATCATATCAGTTGCAATATTTCCTATGCAATGGAAACACGAGATTATGTACCTCGCTGATACAAATATCGTGGAATGTATTAATGGAACTATGCCCATAGAGCAAGTACAGACATTGAAGCAGATCCAAGGACTAACGCGACATATGAAGCCTTCTTCAATCTAGGATCTGAAGCCATGGTCTTGTTATGGAAGAAATCTACTGCTATGAGATCTACAAGTGCCATGTATACTAGGATTCCTGCCGATAGAGAACCCAATAGTCCTTCCAGTATTAATGCATTCGGGTTGCTGTCATCATAGCCAGTCATATAGAAGATAACCATCCCCAAAATTATCCCCAAAGGCGTAGTCACTGAAAACATTAAACACATGTACCCCACTGTTGTTAATCCAAAACCAGCCTGCAATGAGATCAACATTCCTTAGATTACCCCCATGAAATGAAAAATTTAGCAAAATGGACAATTCTATGTGGGCTAAATATGATCATAGAAAAGTATCATCATGCACTCTTTATGGAGTGGACACTAACATAAAATTATTGCCCACAGCTACTGTGACCCCTGTTTGGAATTGATAAAAGTGTTACACGAGTAAACAAGGAAAGGAACCGAAACTATTAGTCTATTATCAAATTCCAACTTAAGATATTATGTGGTACACGTAGATGTGCATTTAGCATACTTTAAATTGGTGATGGCTTTTAATTAATTGTTTGCAGGCAGCAGGAACAAGGGGAAGCGTGCTTTAGTGGTACATCAAAGTTGGGCGAAAAGGGGTTTTCATTCATCTTTTCGTCCTATGAACTGACGCTGACGTACTTACACCAATGAATTAAAATACTGAATTCTATGACCGTATCAAGCCAGTCTATTTAGAGACTGCAGTAAGCAGAGACTGGATATTGAGCTTCGCGGATTAGTAAACTATTGGAGAGTTGGAAGGTCTCAAATAACCTGCCATCCAAACTTCCTCCTTATGTAACATGTCATTTGAACTCAATTCTATAAAGCAGAACATCTAAGGAGGGCGTTGTGAGATTGGTTACATTGGACAATTCTGGCAAATAACTTTCGATTGGACAAGAATATAACAATATAGGAAAGATGCTTTGAAAACTATACCTTATTTTCAAATCCAACACCAACTTCTCATCCTAGAATGGAAATACTGAAGGATAGTATAACTATCAGCAAGAGCGTGACAAAAACGATATACAATAGCACTAAAAGAATTGACTACCATTAAAATGTCCCTCCTATCATAAGACTGAGTAATCTTTATGACTATTGATCACAAGACCAGTAATTCGTAACATCGCAACAAGTTTTGCACAACCCAAATATTAGCTCAGGTATGGAAGAGGATTTCTTCGTGTTTCTACATTTAGGAAGTTGCAATAATGTAACTTTGAATATATAGAATGACTTCAAATGTTTTCTTCGTGTTTCTACATTTAGGAAGTTGCAATAATGTAACTTTGAATATATAGAATGACTTCAAATGTAACAATTTTATTTCTTTAGGAAGTTGCAATAATGTAACTTTGAATATATAGAATGACTTCAAATGTAACAATTTTATTTCAACAGGAACAATTTAACGAATAACTTAAGCTCCAAGAAGAAAACAATATCTATAGAAGAGATCAAAGGAAGAAAGGTAAGCGCATCAAAACTGAAAATGAATGGAATTTTCAGGAGAAAACGATCGTTGTACTTTACTGCTAAAGCTTATATATGGATCAATGTTAGGACCCATTTAGTCTGTATTCGTAAGGAATTTGGGTCTCCCTCCATTTATGATGTGTCTTTGGAATAAAGTAGACGCGTTTCTATTATAACATTATCTAGATCAAAGCAATCTCAAATGATGCTCACATACTTTCTTGTAAAGTACTAGAATACTAGCATCAAGATTCCCCAAATCCTAGAATCAATACTAAAAGTTTGGTTGAACTCCAAATACTGCAATTATGTAGGGTTCATCCCCCACCAAAACCCCCAAAGATTCAAACTTTACTACACAAAAACCTAAAAAAAACTTTACCTGAGCAATGCATCCGCCAAGTCCCATCCCCTCGAAGACCTGATGAAACGCCAGCGCCACCACCAGCGGCCTTATCGTGCACCGATTCTGCGACATCCCCATCGTCACCCCGATTATCACCGAGTGGAAAATTATCCCAATCTCCAACACCTGGCTCACCATCCTCTGCTTCAACTTCGTCAGCCTCTCGTCCTCCTCCTCCAG